GAGACGAAAATTCTCATCACTCAGTTACAGTTTGGTGTTTATTCGTGAACTCGTTGAGAAATTATTCGCACATCGATTTCGCATTGGAACGATCTAATTAACTTGGTGATACCCAGTTACCATTGCTTTTCCTTTGCAGAAATCTAACAGTTTGACATTGTTGCCCTACCGTGAAAGCTCACACTTAGGCAATAAGCATAGAAGTGGGGGTAAAATTGCATTCCCCGAGTTCCCATTTTCTCAATGAATTTGACAAATGTGACCCTTATTCTATGTTCTGGACATTTTTGACACTTAGTGAAACTTCGCATCCTCATCCCCTGACTGTTTGCCTCAATGCGCTCGCACTCCCGCCTCTGGAGAAGGAGGGGGGGTCCCATGCTGTTTGACTTTGAATTCTTTCCGTATCAGTTCTCATGTGATGCAGCTGCACACAGCTAGCTCATAGAAAGCTATCAACGTGTGATAGCCCCTAACCGCTCTCTGTAAACTATTTTATCTATTTCGCTTGATTGTGGAGCATGTTCCAATTGCGCAAAATCATTAGTCGTATTCGTGCCTAAAGAAATTTCAGCTAAACCTCCCACCGGGATCACCACACAGATTGGCCGTATGTCAATTTTCAGCTCTTATGTCGTTGTCTTCATCATATGTCGCAACATATTCGCTTTAATGTATGCTTTTGTGTGAATGACCATATGGTTCCTGGGACTGGACTTTTGGACGACATCGAATTAATTAAATATGTCCGACAAAAGTTGTGTTCCAATTTTTTCTATCTATTGGATCGTCGTTTGAGTAGATGCACGTTTTCCCTAATAGTGGTCGATTCATCCATACATCAGTAATGTGCAGTTCTCCAGAGCTTTTGTACACGTTTTCCTTAAATGGTCTTGTCTATTTCCTCACAAGTCATTGAAAAGTGTGAACGGCGTGTGCGGGAGTTCACCGATATCCCTCACCATCACTCTCCTACTCTCACTTTTAACACGCACGCACACAAGCTAACATCAGTCTGTGCTATTTCAAGTGTAACTGTATTCAAAACACGCAGTATGGGCTGACATGTGCTCTCGATGATTTGTTTCTAAAGCCAGTACAATCATGCTCCATCAAACTGACGGACTGTCCGATCAACCAGAAGATTGATTTCATAGCTCCCCGTCGCACATGTTTACTGGACTGAAGCAACATGTTCGCGATGACTCCAGAGTAAAATAACCTGAGAGGTGTTAGCGTAAACTACTTATTTTGATTGTCAGTGTGGGACCGTTTCATATCCCAAGGAATTTGTTCGTATTCTTATTTTTAGTATGTGGCATATCTGACGGCGGGCATCGATCAATATGGAGGAATTCGCCCACTATTCGCCACAATTTTCACGTGACCGTAAGTATCATGGGACAACTAAGGACACCGACCGGTCAAAGGCGATAAGGAGACTGGTTATAATTCTACCGTACCGGTCGGCAACCGATTTGGCATGTGATCGATAAAGAGTGAACCCCAGTCGAGATTTCTTGATCAAATCTGACCATCCTGATGTCCTGTTTCATTCGAACAGTTGATCAATGGGGTCAACATAAAGCGTAAATTCAAGGCCACACTCAATTACGGTCGACGGCACATATGCGGTTCATTGCATTTGCTAGTCATGGAATGATCGATCTCAGTTGGTTCCTTTCATAGTTCTGTATCTCACTGAGGAAGCTATCTACTGTGGTCGTTTCCATACCTTTTTCGAGAATCAATATTCCATTGTCAATAACCCTTCATTATTTTATGCCCCGCCCCTCTAGAATTATTGCGCATTGTCCTGCCGAAAAGCCAAGAAAAGCGACTGGGGATCAAACTTGCTGGAAAGAGGTGGGTACATGTTTCCGCTCACAACCTATTCCATCCGCTCTTTGCTTATGGCTCTACCCATTTCGTTGCACGAATAGACTCTCCGTTACTGATTGTTCCACTTGAGTAAACATTAATGCGGGATATTGCCATTTGTACTTCAGCTTCTACATAAGCCTTCAACCAAAAATAACACTGTGGTAATACGGAGAAAAAGAACGAGCACGAAATGGGACATTGGACACAGCGTAAATGCACTAACGAATGAGTTCTAGACGAATTTGTTTTCACCGCTCAGAACCTGAGTAATTTAGGCCATGGAGAAGTTACTGTACACAGATGTGTTGCAGCGGATAGGCGCAGGTCTTTTTTATGCAGATAGGTTGATGTGTACTGTTTGAGCCCTATCCGACAAAATTTTGCTTGATAAATTATAGCAGGCAACGGCATACCCGTTGTTTGTTTCTCAGATTAAACAACGCTATTGGAGAAACAAGGTTTGAGACAGCTCATTCAGCCTTCAGCAGAACAGTCAGAAACAGGTGAAGTGTAATGAAGTATGGGGTGAAAACATTGCTGATCGATTGTCTGCCGCACGCGAACGCTTGAGAACCAGTCTAGTTTTAGACTTAATGGAGGTTGTAGAGACCACATTTTCACTCTTCGCCAAATTTTAGAACACAGACACTCCTTTTCTGGGTCTAACTTTTCTATCTTCTTCGATCTGAAAGCGACTTTGTACTCAGTCGACCGCTCTTAACTCTAGCGCTGCCTCACTCAGAATGGTGTTCCCGAGAAGCTTATTGCCATTTTGAGATCGCATTATAATAGTAACCGAAGTCAAGTGCGAGCTTACCACACCTTTTCGTCCGAGTTCACTCCAAAGAGTGGTGTTCATCAGGGTTGCGCTTTCTCTCTTTCCTACTATATTTAGTTTTGCCATAGACTTGATTATGGAAACAGCCCTGTCCTCTTGCTAGGTTGGGGGCATCGATATATCCCCAAGTAGTAGACTGATCTGGTGTATGCAGACGACATTGTGCCACTAAGTTAAGATCCAAGCAAGTTGCAAGCTTTTCTGGATAGTTTCGGTGCTAGTGTATCTATGTTTGATATGCGTTTTACACCTTCAGCGTGTAAAATGTTGGTACAAGATTGATTTCGCCCAGCTCCCGACCTCATTCTACCTGGGGATCTAATAGAGGAAGGAGACAAATTCTACTACCGGGGCAGCTACATCTCGCTGGCGGACACGTCACATGATGTGTCGGTACGCATACAGAAGGCGCGATTAGTGTTTTCCAACTTGGAACATCCGTGGTGCCGTCGCAACATCCGGCTGTCCGTGAAGGGTCAAGTTTATGCTGCAGTAGTTCAGTCAGTGGTGCCCTACGGTGCAGAGATTGGTCATTACCGAATCAAGATAAAAATATTGTGTCGGTGTTCGAACATTGCTGTGTATGTCGCATTGCACGAGTGTGGTGGGGAAACCGCACGAGCAATGCTGAGGTTAAGCTTGGACTTTTAGATTATCACGGCAGCCCATAGGAGCAAGTGGTAAAACNCAGTTAGTAGATGGAGAAAGGTCAAGGGTGGTCAAACCAAGACCTGGCACAAGAGTGTGCGAACCCTAAGCAGGATACTGGGTCACGTAGGTCCCGTTAGGCTCCCCTGATGAGGACCACGAGATCATGTTAACCTGCGGTTAGAGACGTTGAGTGATATGACTGACTGCCGCAAACGGTGGCGCTGTTGCATCCACTCAATATTCTTTCAACTCCAGTTTATGTGAACTCTTTATCTTCTCCTTGGCTTTGTTTTCAACATTCCAATCGTGATCCCTCTCTTTTTATCCAAATAGGCGACCATGAAATAGCACTCGAAACCGGCGCAAGAAAATCCATAGAGAATTATTCTAAAAGCTGAACTAAACTGAAGTGCTGTACGAATACCAATGTGACTGTCCGATCAGTGTAGCAGTGGCAATCGTCGTACTGGTTGTAGACAACTTCCCCGTCGTACAACTCAATGTAATGCTTTATATGGCTTCCCTCCAAGCCTCGGGGTCTAGGTTGCCGGTTTCCATCAGTGGACATTCGGTCCTCATAGCTATAATATGGACGCTGTCCGCTAGCGATTAACAGTCTGTGTATGTAAAGATCAGCGAACAGTACTTTCAAGACCAAAGCCCAGATACCACGTGACGGCGAAATATAAATCGAAGCAGCATTCGGCTGTTCAACGTCGATGGAAGAAATGGCAATAGTTTTTTTGTTGCGGGCAAAGTAGTTTGACTCTGTATAAATTATAATTATCAACAGGATGTTTTCACGAGAAAAATGAAGCCGTCGGTGGTAATCAAAATAAGCATATCATTATTCCTATACTTTTAGCCATGCTATATTTTTATTTTCCCGTTTATTCACTTTGATTCAGAAATTGTTTGGGGTTGTACGTTTTGGGTCTTATCCCGGACGGGCAAGCTCAACTTGACGGTCGATTACGAAAAGATGATCGAATTCTGGAGATAAATGGTGTAGACTTATCAAATGGAACTCAAGAGCAAGCGGCCCAGTTGATCGCGGTATGTCAAGTGAACAGTGAATTTTATTCTAAATGTCACCAACGCCTTCGTGTCTTGGTTTTCATTCGTCGTGGCTAAGACAAGCTAATTTCCTCAATAAATGTGCTCTTATTTCTCGGCCGCTTGTTTTATTTATAGGTAGATTCCATGGACACTTTGCAGAAATGCTTTTTCTCATATAAAAACTGATTTGTTAATCCCAAGACGGAATCAGCAGTTGTTATGACCTCGTGACAGCGGACTGTTTTGAGTTTTGCAATGTCCACCACATGCGTCTTATCATGGATAGAAGGACTTAAGCAATTTATGCACGAGAACCTGTTCAGTTTGGAGAACTGGAAATCTAAGCAGCGATTATCAAATTCCATGACACCCAGTGACATCAGTGCTTGTGAAGTGACACTTCACAAGCACTGATGATGTCACCTCGGCTGGTGATGAAACATTTGCAAACAAATTGCCAAGCTCGGCGATCAGGCGAAATAGAAGAGTTTATTCTGTTTATCATACTGAAATTGATCGAACTCGGACGACATGATATTTAGACAAGAAGTATATTTCACTGCGTGTAATGAGACAATTTCACATTGCTTTTAATCATGTAAGCAAAATTTTTAGGAACCAGTTGACTTATTTTCCAGTTTTTTCTTAAAAATTTTCAGGATGCGAAGGATCAGGTTACTTTAGTCATCCTCCGACAAATTCGTCCACAAACTCCAGACATTATCCGTGCCGCAAGTGGTGAAAATGTCTCTAAATGTGTCGCTTTCTCCGCATCTGGGCCGCAAAGCATGGTTGCTTCTCCAGCACAGGCACGCGCTGTTGCTTCATTGGAAACTTCTAATCCACCACCCCCACCCCGTGGTATCACCACTTTGTCCAATGTACCCCTCGAGCCGGATTTGCAACTGGCCGCTGGGGCTCGTGTTTGTCAGGAGCGAGTACGTTTTCATTGATTTACTTACCTTAACCGCTGATTGAAAGCACGCGGAATTGATGACCAATATCAATTCTGTCTACATATTTCCTATTAAGCTGATGAGAGTTGTTAATTGTCTTTAGACTTCTTTGCCGATGTTTGTATGAATGACCTTTCCCCCAGTTGTACAATAATTTTTATACTGACTGTACACATCAGAATACGAGTTTACCCACTGATTCCATCACCATTCAAAAAGTTGTTACTCTGTTGCATACAGTTCACTCTGATTGTTCGAAAACCGGAGCACTAAACGCTGTGTGAATGACTTCATCAAGAATATTCCTATGATCATCACTATACCCTTGAGCTGCTCCCATTACTGTCACACGTACTCAACAATTAGTTCCCATAAATTTGTACCTGTCTTCAGCACGGGATCCCGATGTGTATCGATACACATTTTTTGCACCGTTTATCGGTACGCGAGCCATTCCAACTTACGTTTATTTTATCTCACGCTTTATTATTACACATCTGATGATTATCACCCAAGACTTGGTCGGTTTGGCATCCCAGTCATAATGACCTTGATTGGATTCCCTTCTGTAAGTCCACCCTACGCATGTGTAACATGGCTTTCCAGGCACTTTACATCCTATGAACGATCTCCAATCGATGGCAAATTAGTTTGTGGAGCAGCCGACCGCAAAACTCTCTAGGTCCGGACTACCATACATCCCGCGGGCACCGTGTAAACGTGATCAGTAAAGGCATGGCTCCTACAGGGGATACCACAGCCCATTTGGTTGCACGTTCATATGGTCTTTCTCATTCGATGTCTACATTGTGAATTGGTCAAAATCATCCACGATTATATACCAAACATAATATATCCAAGCGACCGCTTATTCATCCGAACTGCAGCCTCGAGTCTTTATTTGTTTCTCCACTCCAAGTTCGATTCCAGAGAGGTCCTCTTTACCATGAAGTTCATTATATCACAGACAGGCATGTGTGAAAAATGTCGAAAAATTACGGTTCGTGTATGCTTCTTATATATTTTGTTACAACTCGATTCACTCGGAACATTGTCCTGCTCTGATTGCCAGTCATCTGTTTATTTCTGTGTTTCACCTCTTTAATTTCTCTTTTCTTTCTCTCACCATCTGGGCTTAGTAACTTGCATGAGTTCCACATTTTCGTTATTCTTGGGTTGGTCGAAACTACGCGCAGTGAACACTGAACTCGTGGCTAAAGAAATGCGAACCACATATTTTTGTTCGTGAGATAAATATTGTCTATGAACAAATTTCATATTGATCCTGTTAATCATATTTTAGTCATCGGCATCCCTTTTTTCAGGCCCTGAAGGTATTCATACGATTAATTTGTTCACAGAATTATCAAGATGATCCCAGTATCCCCTGTACAACCACGTGAAAGAGCATACCAGATTTGACAACTTGCGATTACCATCCATACTAGATTTAAAGTTGACACACGAAGAGTTGATGGTAGAATCCGTCGCCATTATGACCCCCCTGGGACGCAGTGACCATGCTGTATTGTTCTTCAAGTACATTTATTACGCTTCTGTCAAAGTAATTAACGCAAAGAATATTCACACATTCATAAACTGTGCAAAGTTGCAGTGCTTGATTCCTTTTATTAAAGGGATATCTCATGGGGAAGAGCACAACCCTTTAGTCGTGCGGCAGGAATTTATTGAGTCTGCAACAACTGCTAGCGTCAGGGACGCCATTAAAAGTTGTCACCAAATCCAGCAGCCTGAAACCACCTATTCGAAGCTGTACTTCTCTTGGACAATTACAAATAACTTCCAAATGCATGCACTCGGAACAATTACCGACTGCTGCGAAACCACTGCACCAAGTTGACGCGCGAAGATAAACTACAGCATCAAGAATCTCTAGCGCAGAGATTCATTTCAAACCCCAAGCCTTTGTACAAGCATGGTAACTCACCTCGAACAGTTAAACATGGAATGTCGGCTCTCAGTTCTTCTGGAAGAGCCACAGCCAATACAATGAAAACCGCTCAAATGCTGAAGAACCAGTATTCCCAAGTCTTTGTTGCATCAACCAATGAAGGACTGTACCTCCCTCGCTGGATGCATCATATTCCGCATCGTTTACTAACCACGTATCATTCACTTCGGAAAAGGTGAAAGCAAAGCCATTTTGCTATGAGGAAGAATTCATCGTCAGGTGCAGACAATATTCACCCCCAAACTTTTAGCAAATCAAATATCCGAACCACTAGCCTTTCTATTCCAGAGGATTTTCGATCACACTGTAATTCCACCGTCCTGGAGGCAGAGAGTAATTTTACCTATTTACAAAGGTGGTTGCCGTAGCGATCCCGCTAACTACCGCCTGTAACCCTCCTTCCAGTGAAGTCCGAAGTTATGGAGTCCATAGCAGTCGATTCCCTGGTGGAACACCTAGAGAAGCACAACGTTCTGTCACTGAATCAATATGGATTCCGACAGAAGCGATCCTGCGCTACTAATTTACTGATAGCATGAGGAAAATGTATAAAAGCAGTTGATGATGGCCACGCGGTAGACGTTATTTATCTAAATTTCTCAAAAGCGTTCGATCGGATGAAACACGAGACTCTTTTTTTATTACACACCTAGGTGTGATGAACAGCAGACGAGGTAAACCCCATAGTCACGAGGACCTGCTGTTTAGTGGTTGAAATCGGCAACCTAAGCCCCGGGACTTGGAGTGGCAAACCACATAAGGCCCCGATAGGTTAGGCGTGGTATTGAACCGGACGATAGCAGAGCTGCCTACCACCAAAGTCGGGCGGCGGTGGCGAGGCTCGAACCTCGGACCATAGGGTCCAAAGCACGCCGTTGACAGCGACTAAACCACTGCGCCACCAACACGTACTGTGGAAACTCTATAACTACAGTAATCGGGTCTCATGCTTGTTTGGATCGAAGCATTTCACCGGCATCGGAACGTGTCGGTTCGTGTTTCTGATTCGCTTTCCAATCCTATTGACGTTACCCGTGGGGTTCCACAAGGATGTGTGCTTTACCCGCGACTTTTCCCAACATTCATAAACGACCTACCGATGGTTCTGGGGCCAAGATCGTCACTAATTGCAGATGACATCAAAATTTGGTATACGGTAACTCAACCAGTGTGCTCGCTGGCACTCCGGGAAAAGCTGAAAGCAGCTCATCTCTTGTCTCTTTTGAACGATATTGAATTCTATGTGCCAAAGTGTAAGGTTCTATCGCTACGACATAAGGGGCGATTTTCGTATTTCCTCGAAAATGAACAACTGCCACACGCCTCAAATGACAAGGACCTGGGCATAATCCTTCAATAAATCTTAAGCTGCTCACTCAACTACGCCAAGGTGTCCAACGCAGCTGTAAAGACTGTCGGTTTGCTTAAACGGGTCTTTGCCCGGTTTCAGTCAGCGGTTTTCATCGGCATACATTCACCCACTCACAGAGTACGCTATTACAATTACATAATGATCGACAAAATCCACAGAACAGCTGCTTGAATTATGTCTAAACTCATTAACGTAGCATAAGTTTCTTCTTACGGGATTTCATTCACGAATTGTCTGGCTAAGATTCAGCAAAATCCGCCCAATTTGACACGTCTTAAATTCCGTGAGTCAGTTTCACGATTATATCTTACAAGGAATATATTTCATTTGTGGCAGAAATGTATATAGTGGTCGGTTGCGAGCACTCGAAATCTTTCTCAACCCCAATGGACCTCATCAGCAATGCGTATTTTTCCTCACTGAGATTCTAGCCTTCGAATTTGGGGGCGGGGGGGGTGCCTAAACCCCCTGTCTCTGAGCTGTGCTGTGATAGTGAACACTTGGAAGGAATACATTTATTTAACTTTAATTCACATTTACGCCGCAATTGCTTGTGCGTAGCGGTAATCGATTCTGATTTGGATCAACCACCCTTTAGATTTCATTTTCATGCACAGTTCTCGGTTTACCCAGTCAGTCACCTACACGAAAAGCACTACACTCAAGATTCACTCTCGTTAGAGCTCATCAGTAGTAGTGCATGTCCATCACCCCAGTCGGGCTTCGTGTCCCGGACCCATCGCATGGAAGGCGTTTCTACTAATATTGTTCTGCACCGCAACTAAATGTGAGTGTAAACTTCAGTGTGATAGGTTGAGGCAAGTTAGGTAGAAACTGTGTGAATGACCTGATTTGGTAGCAGATAGTTGACTATCTCCCCTCTTTGCTGCCGAACCAAAAAATGAACCGACTGCTTATCATTGAAGATAACATCTGAAGAAACATGAATTTGAGATTCTGGTCATCCCTGGTGTGAGCTGGTCGACACTCTGCTAACAGATTCCGTTCATGCCAGGAATCGGAGACCGGACGGGACAGCGGATGGGCTCTAATGAGAACTATGTTTGACAAATTGTTTCCAGATGTGAGTATTCAGGCTACCCTATCTTCGAAATTCCGAATGATAAATACGTTCGTGAGAAAAGTTGAATGGATAATCTTAGTCCAGACTAAGCGGTATCATTTCGCAGAGGAACCAATCAAATGACGGAAAAAATATTACTTTCAATTTGGATGGAAATAATATGAAGCTCTATATCACGAAATAAACGAATAATTGATTGAATATCGATGGAAATCGAAGTCGTTGAAAATTTTATCCGTTGATTGCTGTCCGTCCGTGTCGCAGGTTCTCGTCCTCACCAAACGACCGGGTGAATCTTTGGGCATGTCCGTCGCCGGTGGAGTCGCCAGTCAGCGCGGTGATGTGCCAATCTATGTGACCAATTTAGCCCCGAACGGTCTGGTCGCTCGTTCCGGTCGTGTGTTTCGAGGAGACATCCTGCTTGCTGTGAACGATATCGAGTTGTTGGGTCTGTCACATGAACGGGCCGTTGAAGCTCTGAAAAATGCCAGAGACAGTTGCACACAGGTGAATTCGCACCCTAGTTTGCTGTATTCTTTCCATGCTTCTCCGTAATTGTCTCGAGTAGCTTGTCATTCGTTCCCTCCACACCTTTTTGCATCTGTTTTCTTTGCTTATTTGTATGCCCAGTCTGGTTGATTAATCCACAACCGTCGTTTACCGACACACCCGTTCCGTGTAACCGGAACTGAAAACCCTCGCGGTTTACTCGTTCTTACTCTGCAAGGGTCCCTTAGTAACCTTTCGAATTTTTCCAAAACTTTCCGTCTGTGGCCTGCTCCCCCCTGTGGCGAACATGCCTGATAAATTTGTGATCATTCTCTTCGGGACTGAACCAGTTTGATTTGCCTGTATTTTTTGTAGTTGCGGAAAGCATGCATACATAAGACAATAGGTATCAGTACACTTGAGTAATGTGACGTTGAATGTAAGTATTGTTACTTCATTCAACCCCTATCGATATTCCTCTTTATCACACGTTGTGTACTTTTGTTTGCGACCTCGTCATACATTGTACCAGAATGTTGGTTTTCATTTGGTATCGAGATATACGTTCATACAAATTAATTTACTTAAATAAAATGCAATCGTTCTCCCACATTTATCATCCAACATTGGTTGTTCACCTTCAATTGGACTCGTCGAAGCTCACGATTTCGAATTTTGGGCAGACCACTTTGTCCGCGATACAAACGAGTCACTTGACTGTGTCCTTGCCTAAAGATTATGCAGTCTATATTGTCTACTGCATACGGCATCCCGTGCACACTTTACCCGGACTATAACCAAAGAAAATAAATGTGAGAACTGGATGAGTTGTACACCCCTGTTTACGCTATTTCTGCTGAAACAAAACAATGTATGATGATTGTTCATATGCGCTTTTTCGAGCGGTATGATCCGTCATGATGATATAACGATTGTTTCTTGGTCCGTTATCTTGGTTGAGGCAACCATAACACCATTCAAAATTTGATTTGAAAATGAATGCATTTCGATTTTCTCATTCCACTATTCCCTTTCCTCACTTACAGAAATTCACATGGTTTTCTTGATCCGGAAAGCGACAGTTTCAAGTGGTTCTCATATTGTGATAATCATTATACCTAATGATACCTGATGACACCCTCATCTTCGCTCTAACCTCTTGCACTTTTAACCGAACAGGTGACTTTGAGACTCCTCAAAGGTCCTGAATGTAGTCTTGAAGACCGCAATTTTATCCCCAGTTGGTTATTCTGGTTACAACTTCCACGGTATTGTCAAATTCCTCGACTGGTGGTTCTCGTTCGTGATCCAGTTATCGGTTTGGGCTTCAGCATAATCGGTGGTAACGATTTCTTTCCGGATTCCACTGAGCCCGCGGTATGTATCCATAGTTTTTCATTGAACTGGTGCACACCTACCCTGGTACAACCCGTACGTATTCGTGTTAATGAAAAAATGAAGTTTTATGTCTACCACATTACACAACAAAATGTTGTCTAAGATGAAGTGGGGTAATGCAGTTGAATCTAATCTGCTTTCTGTCTTTGTCTTTCTTATCTGACGTTGACATCAAACTTATGGAAATCATCCATTATCTGCCAGTGTATTCTCATCAACAAATAAAAATGCATCAGTATATTGGTTTATGCTACCCTGTACCAGACTAACCGGTAAATATTTACTATGAGTACCGTTCTCCTCCCCCCTCCCTCCCTCACTTGCATCACTGCCTCTGATAGATGGAATTCCTAACCATTCTGACATATCAATAGGTGTTCCAGGTTTGCTTTGTCCGTGAAGCAGAAACTATTAAAGTACATTGTCCGTGGGAATGCATAATTGTTATTACAAATTATTTATGTATCTTATCATTTAGTTAGCCTTTATTTTTGTTATCGTTGTTCAAGCACAGTAGTGATGTTTTTTCGGCTCTATAGTCTTGTCAAATGCATTAGGCTCGATTAGTCGATCACTGTCGACCCTCTGATACGAACAAGATCGTTCAGAGCGTTAAGTTCCGTTTCCTTCAACTCTCGTGGTTGAAGCTTTGGGACGTTCAATTCGATGTAAATAGTCATTGAGAATGGGACAGCTAAGCCGAAAACAGCATTGTGAAATCAATTTGTAAGTTGGATCTGTGTAGTGGTACGAAATAAAAACAATTTTATTTCAGCGGATAACCCAGGGCGTCTCTCGTTATACGTTGCACTTTCGTGTTTGTGTAAGTGTGCGTAACCGTCAACTGTAGTCTCGTGACTTGAAGTGATGAACCCTGTACCACTTCTATCACAAAAGGGGGATAGCGGAACTGCGTGTTACCAAACGTCATGGAGAAAAAAGGATTTAGGATAGCCTGTAAGTAAATTTAAGAAGTTTTAGGTAAACTGTCATCATTATGACTGTGACAAACACTTAAGTTTCAATTTAACCTTATCGTTTTCGGTAGAAATTCGTAGGAAGTGAGAATGCCGTAACAGGATACTGAGATCGGGTTATTGTGTGAGAACAATGTCCTAAAGAACCGGTGCAACGTAAGAAAATGAGGTCATTAGGGTTTTATCAATTCAAGTAATACCGATTGAATCGGAGAAAGGTAACTCGTGATACCTAAGTTACAACAGATCCAGAAGTTCTCGAATCAATGCAGGGAAACCCATCAGAACAATCAGGCCACAGATGATGTCATTGTTTTACGTGCTCCAAAATATCCTGGTTTTGGTATTTCGACAGGTGGTGAATGCATCGTATCTTTGATGTTTGTAATGTGTTTGATCCATACTGATGCTTGGTTCTTGTATCGTATCCACTCAAGAGTTTTTGTTAGAATGGTTTATTTGTCGAAGTTCAGGGATCCAAGCATGCGGGGCAGGTAGATTGAAAAACTTCGGGGGTGAGGGGGTCGAGAAAATGGCAAGACAATGCTGAGTAATTT